CCCAGCTGTCCTGGAACTCACTATGTAGACCAGGCTGGCCTGGAACTCACAAAGATCCGCCTGCCTCTGCCTCCCAAGTGGGATTAAAGGTGTGCGCCATCATGCCCAGCAGAAAAAGTCATTTTTAATGCAACTAACACTTAGATGTTTGCACATGCATCTCTAATTCTATGTATCTGATTATTACTAGTCACAGTCAGTTACTTTCTGAGATCCTTGGCACGTGAGTATGGATATAAAGTCATAAGGTAGATTTCAATGGTAATATTTTTCATATCTACTAATTTAACATGAAGCAAAATTTTATGCTTCTTCCTCAAATATAACTCATTTTTAATTGTTTTGTGTATTTCATACAGAAAATCTCAATCTTATTCATCTATATACCCACATCCCAAGTGGCACCCTCCCATACCCCCCCACTCATTGGAGCCCATATACTCTGAGGGGGTCATCCCTGTTACTGTCCACTGTGTGGTCAGTGTCCCCAGCTGTTCTCTAGTGCTTGTTCATCCGCTGAGTCTAGTCAGCCTATCTAGTTTATGGTTTTAGGAAGAACAGCTCTTCCTCATCTAGCAGCAAGCAGTTGCCAATATTCCTTTAGATAAGAATGGGGTCTGCTGTTCATTTTCCCAGTTCTATGCTGGGTTACTGTCTGGGAGTCTCTTGGGCCACACTGGCCAGTAACTCAAAGGAAGGTATCTCCTATCTGGCATTGTTTCTTGTTATGTAGCTTTAGCTATATGCATGGACTCTTAAAGAATTATATTGATCCCTTTAATCGTTGGTTATACTTTCCTTTTGGGTGTTTTAAGACCGTGCAGTTGCCCTAGATAAACCAATTTTACTCTTAAGGTCGTTTGAGGATCTATTCCTCAGGGGTCACATGGGCTTGGGAGGAAACCCCTGGCTCCTTTCTTTTACCAGTTCCATCTATGTGAAGGTAAGTCAAAAGCCTGCTCGACTGTGGATGGCTTCACTTGGAAGCATGGAAGAAATGTTACCTGTGTTGACCCTCCTCTTTGTAGATTGGACGCTGGTTCAAGTCCATCTGGTGGGAGTCTCCATGGCCTCCTTGATCAAGAGGACAGGTGACTCACCACAATACAGGACATTTTGAGAGATGCTCCATAGTCCCCTGGAACTTAGTTGACCTTGGAGGGCAAGGAGCAAAAACTGTCCTTTAAGTCCCTCTGACCAAACTAGTATAGGCCTCAAAGTGTGGCTATTAAACATCCAAGAAGGTTAGTTCCACCAGTCTGGTATTTTTTTTAATTTTTATTTTATGTGTGTGCGTGTATTGCCTGCATGTTGGTAAGCGTACCTGTGTCATGCAATGCCCACAGAGGACAGAAGAGTCTGTCGGATCCCCTGGAACTGGAGTTACAGATAGTTGTTAGCTGCCATGTGGGTGCTAGGATTCAAACCCGGGTCTTGTGCAAGAACAGTCAGTGTTCTTAACTGCTGAGCTATCTCTCCAGCTTCCAGTCCGGTACTTTTAATTACCATATGCTAAGCAGATAAAGCCTGGTCAAAGACCAAAGGTTCTCAAATAAACCTTGACTAGACATATATTATGTTCCTTGTGCTAGTTGTATGTATAATTTCTCAGTAGGTTGTTGGACTAATATGGTTCCCTTTTTTTTTTTAACTAGTGAGGCATTACTTATCTCTCACATTATCTAACCCTTCCACCATGGTTTCCCCATTTAAAGTGCCCCCATTTCTCCCTTAATAATACCCTCCTCCTATGGTCCCACCTCTTGTGAGCTCCTTCTTTCCCTTTATCCTCAAGTTTCCTGGTATAACCCCCCCTTAAGATAACCTCATTTTTATCCATTATCTCCCTTATTAACAAACACCTGTTTCCTACTGGTCTTCTCTTTCAGGTTCTTTCTTTTCCTTTACCTCCCTGGTTCCTTTTCATTATCCTGGTTCCTGTAGTTATGTCTGGATACATACTCACTTATAAGGATTTGGTGCTAGGATCCACATATGAGGGAGAACATACGTCGTTTTTTGTTTTCTGAATCTGTGTTACTTAGTTTAACAGTTTCTAGTTCCATCCATTTACCGCAAATTCAATGGTTTCATCTTTTTTCACTGCTGAGTAAAATTCCATTGTCTAAATGAACCACATTTTCATTATCCACTTGTCAGTTGAGGGACACTTAGGTTGCTTCCATCTCTTAGCTACTGTGAAAAGAGCAGCAACAAACATGGATGTGCAAGTGTCTCTGCAATAGGATGAGTTCGTTCTTTGGGTATATGCCAAGGAGTGGTATAATTGGGTGAAATGGTAGGTTCATTTTTAGTTTTGTAAGAGTTCTCCACACTGCTTTGCATAGGGGTTGAAAAAGTTTGCAATCCCACCAGCAGTGGGTGAGCACCCTCCTTTCCCCACATCCTTGCCAACATTTGGTATCATTTAAACAGTATGACTGGGGTAAGATGAAATCTTAAAGTGGTTTTAATTTGCATTTCCCTAATTACTAATGATGTTGAGCACCTTTTAAGATCCTTCTTAGCCGTCTTTATTTCTTCTTTTGAGAACTCTCTGTTCAGCTCCTTAGCCCATTTTTAATTGAGTTACTTCCTTTCTTGATTCTTTGTTTATTGAGTTTATTATATATTCTGAATGTTAAACCTCTATCAGATGTGACGGTGGTGAAGATTTTCTCCCACTATGTGGGATTCCTCTTCACTTGACTGGTTGTTGCCTTTGTTGTACAGAAGGTTTTTAGTTTAATGAGGTCCCACTTACCAATTGTTGATCTTAATTCCTCAGCGACTGATGTCCAATTTAGAAAGT